GTTAGTTTACTTCTAACAAGTTTGTTGATTTCAAACTCACAAATGATGGGTTGTGCATATTTTGGGACAGTATTTAGGTCTCTGTCACAATTAGGATGGACGTTCTCAAGGCTGTAAATGCCTCTAAACTGTCCATCCAACTCAAAAATACCAAGATGTACTGAGACTTGAAGCGTCAGTATTGGTAATCTAGAATGAAGAAGGACATTGTCAACTACGTCTCTCGATGCCTTACTTGCTAACGAGTTAAGGAGGAACACCAGAGACTCGACGATTTGTTATAGGGCCTCCCTATTCTGGAATGAAAATTGAAGTATGTAACCATAGACTTTATCACTGGCCTACCCAGGATCTGCTCCGGTTGTAATGCCATTTGGGTCATCGTTGATAGATTAACCAAGATTGTTTACTTCCTATTCATCAGAAGCACTGACTCTACTAGCAAATTAACTTGCCTGTATGTCGATGAAATTATTCGACTCCATGGCATTTTTTCATCTATTGTGTTTGACCGAGATCCTTGATTCACCTCCCATTTTTGGGATAGTTTTCAAGAAGTCCTTGGGTCTAGATTGTACTTTAGTACTGCTTATCATGCCCGGACTGATGGTCAGTCTGAACGCACTATCCAGACATTAGAAGATATATTGTGCGCTTGTGTCATCGACTTTAGTGATAATTGGTATGAATATTTTCTCCTGTGTGAATTTACTAATAATAACAGTTATCATTCCAACATCGGCATAACTCCGTATGAAGTCCTGTACGATAAGCCCTACTGTTCTCCCACTAGCTGGAGCAAAATCGGAAACCAGCATTGTTTGGGATCTAATTTCATCCATGAGACTATCGAGAAGGTTGTTATCATCTATAGGAACTTGGTCACTACCCAGAGTCACTAGAAAAGTTACTTGGATAACCATAGAACACCCTTGGAATTTTCCATTAGTGACAAAGCCTTCCTCAAGATTTTTTCCTAAAAGGGAAAAATACTATTCAAAAAAAGGGAAAGGTTGAGTCCCTGTTATGTGGGACTTTTTTGGATGGTAGAACATGTTAGATCCGTGGCGTACCATCTCACTCTACCCTAAGAGTTTATGGGTCTACATGATGTTTTCTATGTCTCTATGCTTAAAATGTACAAACCTGACCCTTTTCACATCATTCATCACGAAGCGATGTAGGTGAAAGCTAATATGACGAACGAAGAACTCCCAGCAGAAATTCTTGGTTAGACTGATAAGGTTTTGCGTAATAATAGGATCCCCATGGTGAAGGTACAGTGGCAACACCACACTCCAAAAGATGCAACGTGGGAGTTGGAGAACAAGATGAGAGAGAAGTTTCCAAACTTATTCATGACAAATTTGGGTGACCAATGTTTCTAAGATGGAGGGAATATAACACCTTGAAAACTATTGCGCTTAATTTATAATGCGAATTCCTATTTATTCAGGCTCTAAGGTTGCTTAAACTGTTTAAATATTTTGTAATTTTAATTTTCTGATAAAAATCGTATTTCGTATTTTAGTTAATTAAATAATTATTAAAATTTTTCACCTTATTTCATTGTAGAAAAAAATATTTTATTTTGATTTAAAAATAATTTTCAAGAAAAATGGAGAAAATGCGAAAATTCAACTGAAAAACGCCCACGGGAAAGGTCTGGCCCATGCGGGCACCGCATGCTGCTCGCGCAGCCAACACTGGAAGCGCGCACCGTGCGCACATCCCGTCCGTACGGTGTGCGATGCGTGGTTTGTGAGCATGTCTCATCGCACACAGACGAGCGCAATCCACGCACGTCCCATCAAGTGCAGATGGGTGTGGCTCTGTACGCCCTATGTGTGCACCGTTTGTGCAGTAGGCCTACACGCATGGGCTTGCGTGCAACGCCCTACACACTGTTGGTCTTGTGCATGGCCGACTGAGGCAGCGTGCGCCACTTTGGGTAGCGAGCCATCGACGGCTTGGGCAGCATACCACCATCGTTTGGGCAACGTGCCACCATCGTTTTGGTGGCATGCCTCTATTTTTTGCACTACCATCATGTCATGTCGTTTGTTTGTCGGTCATATCCGTCAGTTATCACATCACTTTTTTTCCTATTCATTTTCTCTCTCATAGCCAGATTTCACCACTTTGTGCAAATTCAATGATCTCTATTTTTTATAAATAGGGACCTTCTCTTAACCATTTCCTCATCACTTCCATTTTATTTTTTCTGTCTTCCAAGAGGCATAGGAAACTTTGAGATTTCGGTAAGAAATTTAATATTTACTTGTAAGCATCCTAATGAGTATTTCTAGAATAAAATTTATAAAGTTTGAATTTATGATTTAAATGATTAAATTTTAATATCTATATGAAATAAATTTTACTTGATAATGCATGTTTTATGATCGTATATGAACTTGTTAATTTATATATAATTTCAATGATTTAAAGCTTGAAATCAATACTAATATGTGACTCAACTGATGGTGAAAAAGTGATTAAGTATGAAATGATGTATAAACATGAGAAATATGTACCAGTATTGACATGCATAATTCATGAAGTATTTTATTGAGCTTTTTATCTCTGAGTACTTTCTATTTCTTTCCTCATCTAGTTTGAAAAGACATGAGAGAACCGCTCCCTGTGGATGACAGTGTATCCTCTTACGAGAGTGGTGACACGATATTACTGTAGGGGTCATATTTGAAAAAGTACAATCGTGGCAATAGTCTTACTGTAGGACCACTGTTGTTGGCACGACCGTGGTCATAAATCGTGTCATGATTTCGCAAGCCAGAAATTATTGTTATAACTAAACTGGTCATTCCATATGGGTAGTCGAAAATCTATATTGCCCTCAATAGATGAAAGTCAAAACGACTTCACAAAAAATGATATGAAAAAATGTGCACATCATGATTTGTTTGATTTTCTCTATTATCAGCATGATTGATTTTATTAATATGACCATGACATGATGGATTAATGTTTTCTTTAATAAATAAATTATTTTTATAATTTAATGAAGAACCCTTACATGACTCTTGATGGTAAGTATTGATAATATAATTAATCACTTTTAAAATCTTATGATGTTATTTAAATATTATTTTTCTTATTCGGTATATAGAACTCATCCAGTTTCATGTCTCCTTTCATATCCGGAAGATAGTGAGGAATCAATCGCTGACCTACCCCTTGAAGTATTTGAGGATCCTGTGGATCCATAAATCTTTTTGAGTACATGACTTATCTGCACTCTAATGAGTCTTTTTACATAATGATAGAAGTTTTCCTTTTTATATTTTGATATTTTGTATTTTGTTACCACTTGTACCTCAGTTATATATGTAATTGGAACTCATATTTTGTAAGAAATTTGTAGTAAATTGCTCCGCTGCATATAATTAACTATCATGCACTTGTAATCTATTTTTGTATCTGGCATCCTTATGCCTTAATTAGCATTTGGGATGTCACACTCTCTCTCCCTACAAACTCAACATCATCAAAGAACTTCGCATTTCCCGTCTTAAAAATTATTTCAGTAGTAGGATCATAAAACTTGTAACCCTTAAATCTTTCAGAATAGCCAACAAAATAACAATTTATAGTTCTAGAATCTACTTTTTTTTCATGTGGCATATAGGGCCTGCCTTTAGCTAGATATTCTCAAATATGCAAATGTTTCAAACTAGATGTCTTGTCCGTTTAAAACTCATAAGAGATCTTTATAGTTGCTTTAATTGGAACTCTGTTGAATAAATATGTTGTGGTCTTTAATACTTCTCTCCAGAGTGATTCAGCCAAGGTAGAATGATTAATCATACTCCTCACTATATTTTTAGGTGTTATGTTTCATCCTTAAGCAATACCATTCATGCTACGAACCCGACATGGTGTACTATGAGACGATACCGCATTCCTATAGGAATCTAGTAAATAGTCCTGGATGTTGTTCACCTGATCCATTTATCTAACATAGTATTCACTACAACAATCATATCTAACATACTTAATTTTTTTATTGAGTTGGTTCTTAACTTCTGTCTTAAAATTTTTAAATATATTCAGGGACTGTGATTTCTCGTGAATGAGATAAAGGTAGCCATATATAGAATAGTCATCTATAAATGTTATGAAGTATTATTGACTATTTTAAAAAACTGTAGGGAATGGTTTACAAATATCTGTATGAATCAGATCCAATACGTCCATAGCCTTGTTGGCACCCAATTTCCTCTTGTTTTTCTGTTTCCCCTTGATGCAACTAACACATCTACCAAAATCTGTAAAATCAAGCGGATTAAGAATTCTATTCGATACAAGTCTCTATATTCTCCCTTTGTAGATATGACCTAATCTATTGTACCACAATGAGGCAGAATTCTCATAGGTTAATTTACGTTTAACATATCTTATACTCACATATAAGAATTCATTATAATAAGTAATTGTATCTAGCAAATAAAGATTATCACAAGCTGATAAAGAACCAGTGCCAACCATGTTGGAATTATGATAAAGACTAAATATTCTATTTTTAAAAGAACAAGAATAACCAAATTTGTCCAATACATAAATAAAAATCAAATTTCATCTAAATGACGGTACAACATAAGTCTCTTCTAAATCTAAGTAATATTCAGTTCTTAAGAATAATCTAAATGTGTCAATTGCTTCCACCTTTAATGGTTTGCCATCGTCGACATAAATGAATCTGGCACTTTCATTTGTCTTGCAGCAATGGAGGCAACCCTGCATGGACACACTGATGTGAGTAGTGGCACTAGAATCTATCTACCATGTGTGTCTAGGTACAGATGTTAAATTAACCTTAGAACAAATGAAGTTAAGAAGCATACATTTCCTTGCGTGCCACATATGATAGTTGATGCATTACTTCTTTTAATGACCTAGAGCTTTATAGAAGGAACAAACATTGTCATTTTGTTGTTTTTGTTGTTTCTTCTGTTATACTGGAACCACAATATTTTTACCTGCTTTCTTTTTCTTATTCTTCTTATCCTTTGAGACCGTAGCTGGATGAGCACTCTCTGTCTTCTCATACTTTAACTTTTTCTTCTCCTAAACACAGTATGAGATGAGATCATTGAGAGTCCAAAATTCCTTCTGGCAGTTGTACCTCACCTTGAAATGATTAAAGTATGGAGGAAGAGATATCAAAACAAAGTACACTAGTAATTCTTCTGATAAATCCAGTCTAAGTGCTTTAAGCTTAGCATGTATGTGAGACATTTCAATTATGTACTCTCTTATGTTTCCTTCCCTCTTATATCTCATCAAAACAAGATTCGCCAAAAGTATACAAGCTTCGGTCTTATAACTCCTAGTTAAACGTTACTCGATGGACGTAAAAAAATCTTTAGCTGAATTGATCGCATCAGATATAGTGCCGCTAGAAACTTCTGGAATTAACTGTTGCATTACCAACAAACTCATACAGTTTGATCGATCTCATCTTTCAAACGCCCTATTTTCCTCAAGGGTACTGTTAGGAGTAAGTGGAGCGGGTGGATCGGCCCGTAAAGCTCAATCCAGATCTATAACTCCAAGAACAATCTGAACATTATTTTTTCATATTTTGAAGTTTGTGTCATTCAATATTAGAATGAAATTAACATTCAAAGTGATACTTCCAGTAAAAAAGGAAGCTGAACAGAGAACATACAATCAGTCAATCAATACTTATATTAAACCTTAAACCATAAACAATAATAATGAATTTAAATATAAAAAAATCTCATCTCAAGATATTATACACTCCATTAACACTCTATCTTTAGATAGAGTATTAACTTGTAAGTAATATCTTGTAATAATAATTAAATACTGACAGTAAGAACACACACCAAATAATAAATCTTCTTTTGATCTGATTTATGGTTCACATGCACACAAAAAAACTTAATAACTATCATGTATTTCTTACTTTCAATTAGAATGCAATTATATTAAATATTAAACTTTCTTTGGGTCGATTAACATTCACATAAAATACACCATACAACCGTTTATATTCTAAAATAAATCAACTTATACAAAAGAGGTCACTTTGGTGACATGTTGTATAAATTGATTCATTTTAAAATGCATATATATATACAAATATCTAAATCCAAATTTATACTGAATTTATTCTGTATAAGGAAGAAAAGAATGCACCTATAGGGAGGCTAATCGGCCTCCCGTCGCGGCAGTGAAGTCGTGTCATGCATCGTGATCGACAAGTCACACCGGTGAAACAGCGACGACCTTCTGGTCGCGGCGTGTAGAGAAGAAGCGGTGACCGTGGTCGCCGCATAAAGGAAGAAAAAGAAGAAAGAAAAGAAAAAAAAAACAATTTTTTTAAACATTTCTTTTCTGATTTGTTTTTTTGGGTCGTGGGCCCAAATAGACTAAAGAACTATTTGTTTCTTTTTTTGGGACGTGACTGTGGCCCACAACGAACAAAAAAAAATAAGAAAGAAAGAGGAGGGGAGGGGAGGCTCATATGTGAGTGGACCTAAACCCCATATGAACTCTGATACCACTTGTTAGAATTAATTAAACATAATCTGAAAAAAAAAACTATAAATAAATTTCGTACTGAATCAAAAAGAATAAACAC